ACGCCCCGACCTTCTTCAGGCGTTTGTGAACTGATCTCATTTCAGCTACATTTGAACCCAATTGTGTTTGAATCTGCAGCTTTGCTGAGCAGAATGTTTACACTTTAACGCAATGTACGAATGTTTTTAATGTATGTATCTAGAGTTATAGGAATGTTTTATTTTCCAAACGCGGTCAGTACATTCTGACCGTGTTCATAGTTGATGTTATTGAGTGTTGGCTTTTTGTTATTAATAATGCTTTCAGTTAAAATAAGAATAAAACCATTCATGATAATGGCTAAAAGAATAGCCGAAAGCGCTCGGACATACGGAAAATTTCTAAATAATTCATGTCCAGAATAGAAAGATATTACACAATAACAAAAGAAAAATTAAAAAAAAAAAAACTTGTATAAAAGAGGGATTGCTACTTTAATACACAATTATATATATATATATATATATATATATATATATATATATATATATATATATATATATAGAGAGAGAGAGAGAGAGAGAGATAAATGTGAATATAAACTAGATAACGAGATATTGGCAACTGTATATGCGATAGCGTGCATTCACAGATAAGCAAATAAATATTTATTTAATTCAAAGCAAAACAGTGCTCAGTGTAGTTAAACAGAGCTATGAAGTATATCTTAATAAATACACATATACCTACATTTGTAGTGCAATTTAAAGTTTCATGGTTGTTTCAAAACACTGGGTCTCATGGAGGTAACGCTAAATTATACACAGATTCAAAGCTCAAAGTTGATATAAACCAAATATGTTATTGGGATGTAAATTCAAAATATAGAGCGTATGGAGGGAGATATTATGAAGAAAAGCAATAAATAAATAAATAAAAAAAAGAGTGATGCAAGCTTAAAGTTTATATGGTAGATGTTTTTCCGTTTGGGAAAAAAACAGGTTTCAATTAAAAAGGCATAAGGAGCAAGCAACATGAATAAAAAGGAGGTGGTAGGTGCAGTGGATTGTGGATTGTATATAAATATGTTTCAAGGAAGTAACACTACACAGTATATAAAGGTAACGTTTAATAATATTAGGAAATAAATAAAAAAAATAAAAAAGTGTAGATAGACAAATAAAATTTGAAGAAAATAAGTAAGTAAAATATTTAAAGAAAAGAGAAACGCCATGTACCCCTTTACGTATTAATAGATGTTTAAATGGTTAAAAGTGGGTGATAAGTATTTAACCGAAAATATTTAATGGGTAGTTGAATTTGGGTAAAAGTATTTATCAAGAATCAAAATACTTTAGGGAAGGGCTTTTTTTATGGATGCAAGCTATCACGAATTCACTACGTTTGTTCAGCAGGTTGGGGTCATTAATATTTTTGAGTATGAATCTTTTTTTTTTCCAGCAAACACAGTTTACATCGGTCGCCATGACCGGAAAAAGTGCAGTTTTGGCAACGAAATTCCAATTTACTACCGGTGTGTAGGTATTTATTTGGATTTCCCAGTAAAAATTTAAGAGTGTCGTGACATTTGAATATTGTTTATTGGTAAAAATGATTTTATGATGGTAATACCTAGTTTTCCAGTGGTTTGCAGTGGGAACAAAATAAAATTTAATCTCGCTATTATGTTAGCCTTATAAATAACGCCTTTATTCATACATCTTTGATTTAATGGACAGGTATTCTTTTTTCGACAATTACACTTTTTATCTGTATTAAATAATGTTATTGAGGTTGTTTAAATATTTGTTTAATGTTATATTATTATGTTGTGCTATATATTGTTCAAGGTTTTTGGTGCAGCTGTAGCTAATCTTAATGTTGTTCTTGTTGAAGATTTTGATGAGCAATGACATATGATTGAAATATTTGTGGATTAAATTAAGGAGAATTTTAGCTATATTGGTCTTGACATTTTTGTTAAGTAGTGGGTTAAACCAAATTATGTTGCGTTTTCTATTCTTATGTTTATTATTGGTATTCTTACTAATGTTTATGTATTCTAGTTTGACTTTGTGTTTACTTTTTTCTAGTGCATCTACCTATTTAGTTTTATATTTGTCAACTTGGAAAACCTTATATTCACGGGACAGATTGCGGCAAAGAGAGAGAACGAGGAAAGTAACGCTAAAAAAAACTTGACGAGCTTGAGTAAATGAATGATAGAACAGCGTTTGGGAGAAATAACAAGAAGAAAAAATTATTAAAAGCTAGAAGGAAGATGTGGAGGGCCATGATCGTCTACGTCCTGAAGGGACACGGCACATAAAATAAGAAGACTTTCGACTTTCGCAGTGATTATCAAGAACAGATGTGGTGTTTGTGTGGTAGTTAGAATTCCTTACTTTGTATCCTCAGTTTTGAGTCTTTTCTTACATTGGGTGCTATAGAGTATTTTGGTGGGGTGCCGATCGTAATCCTGAATCTTAAAATCCCGTATGTCGAAATCCTGAAATATAAAATCCCGAAATTTGAAATCTCGAATTTATAAAATCCCGAAAGATCAGAATCCCGAAATTTAAAATCCTAAAAGATCAGAATCCCGAAAAATAGTCTTTGGGAGAAAATGAAAAAAAAAAAAAAAAAAAAACCCCAAAAAAACAAAAAAAAACAAAACAAAATGGAAGTACTTTTATTTCTAAACATTTATAAAATAGCGTTTAAATAGTGTTTATACATTTGAAACATTTAAAATTCATTAAAAAAAAAAGAAAAAAGAATGAGACCAAATGTGCGATGGGAAAATATGGTAAGCAATGCTCCTGTCGGTGTTTATCGCATTATTGGAGAGTTTCAAAAAGAGCAGCAGCACGTGAAAAAACGAATGTAATGCAAACGTATTCCCCGAGGATTGTGAATGCATTCTCCGAGGAATGTGAATGCATTCTCCGAGGAATGTGAATGCATTTTCGAAAAAAAAAAAAAAAAAAAGAAAAAGAAAAAGATGTATTTTATCGCGATGAAAGTCTTAAAAATATAGTTAACGATCGTCTAAACCGATCAGATCTTATGGACTAACACTCATTTGCCACTTTTGTAATGCCAACGAATACTCGTTGTCACTTTCGTAATGCTCGTTGTAGTAGAGACTTTGTAATCGCAGATACAACTATAGTAACGCCGTTGAACAATACTGGTGCCAGACATCTTCGAATAACACTTACACTAATAGTACTTGCTCGATAATAATAATACTCGCTCGAATAGTAATCCGTATAGAGAAATATTATAGTGAATAGAGTAGAGAATAGCGGTCCGTATAGTAATAGAGAATAGAGTAGAAATAACGATCAGTATAGTATAGAGGATAGACTAGAATCAGAGATCGTGAGGCGTCAGCTACTTCCTACATATATGTGTTTTTCTATGGTTACGTGGTCTACTAAATTCAATAATGGCTCTTGATCATAATCTTTCATTGAAAATTATTTATGTATTCTAGTTTTATATTGTTTTAATGAATTTTGAATGTTACAAATGTATAAACGCTATTTAAACGCTATTGTGTAAATGCTTTCAAACTTGTTTTTTTTCAATTACCACCAAAGACTATTTTTCAGGATTCTCATCTTTCAGGATTTTAAATTTCGGGATTCTCCTCTTTCGGGATTTTATAAATTCGGGATTTTATAAATTCGGGATTTTGATATATTCGAGAATTCAAATGTCAGGATTCTAAATTTCAGGATTTCAACATTGGTGATTTTAAGATTCGGGATTATAATCCAAACCCATTTTGGTGTTATCTACTAATATTTGTCTTATTTTGATAGTTTATTTCAAACTTAGGTTATTTTGAATAATATTTTCAAATGTATTTTTATTTCTCTTATTTATATATATATATTTTTTAAAAAAATATTTACCTCAATTTCCTTACTTAGCCTCTCGGACAGAAATTGTTACCAGTGGTCAAGAATTAATTGAAGCGTTATGGACAAACAGAATAGGGCTGTTTAGATGTATAATGACAAATCAAAACCTACGTGAGTCAAGTCGAGTGGAATACAAGATTATAGACATTAGGCACCTGCCATATAGTGATAGTTGTCAAGGTAATCAGGCAGACAATTGCTAGTGAAGTTTATTCTCACGGAGTAACTCAGTAGGCATATGACGTTAAGCTTTGTAAATAGCTTCAGTTGTTTTCATCGCTATGTTGGCAGCCTTTAAGATGACCTTAAAAATAACCCGTTCTGATTAAATATCTTTTTCGTATGTTTGGGAGAGGTATCTTCAAGTTTTCTTTATTTTGGCTTTTATCACGACGTTTCTGGTGCTATTTCTTCAGATATAACCTCTACAGAAAGAGAAAGATCTTTATTTTTTCACCGTGGACAGAATTTAAAAAAAAAAATAGTAAAAAGCTAAGTCAAAGTTTGTTTTTGTTTTTTTAAGGTTTCTTATGCAAACACGTTTGATAAAATGCATCACAAACAAATGTTGGAACTGCTAGATGGTTATATTCCGTGCTAATAGGAATATAGAATGGACATACACGGTGGATAAATAGTAACAGGTTTATTGTAGAAACCAGTCTAACAAGCAAGGAAATAATAGTTATGTGCACGGTCGTCGCAAGTCAGTACAGTGGTGTGCATACTGCTATTGGAAGGCTGCTAGTGCTCGCAGATCCCAGCTCGACTCTCTCATTTGCTGTCTTCACGGATACTTATAGGTGGTTACCCCCTATAGTGCTCAATGTGGTACCAGGTTATTCCATCACATCATAGATAATCCTGGTATAATTAAGAAGGATATTAAATTAATCCGTAATTATATTGAGATCGAAACTGTTACGGATAGAAAATGACTTCCGTACATATACAAAAATATAAAGGGGTGTATAACATGGATGTGTCTGAAGATTGGACGTATCCAACCTATACAGTGATGTGATTCTGAGGGAATTAGAAGACTTATCAAAATTCATTATTAGCGCCTGCAATCTTAACAGCATTGGATGAGACAGTGTTGATAGCAGACAACTACAGGAACTCCTACAGAGGATAGTAAAGGAAAGCGAGAATAAAGGACTAAGTGTCAATTGTAAGAAGACAGAATGTATGGTTGTCAGCAAAAGGCACAGCCCAACATGCGAATTACTAATTGGAGATACCAAAAATCAAGCAAGTGTAAAAATTTAAATATCTGGGAAATGTTTGACAGAGGACGGGAAATGCGACTCTTAACTCTTAAAGACGTAATAGGATAGCGAAAGATGCCTTCTAAAATCTGAGTAAAGAAACAAAGAAAAGAAAGCACTACTTAGATATACTGGTCCCAAGAGACCACTGCCGATGTGCATGACGCGCGTCCGGCTACGGCAAACGAAGGCGTTCGACGTAGTACTGAAATATTATGTAAAATTGGCCTTCCTATATCGCATTGAATTCTGGACAATCTCCCGATTTTTTTTTTAAGCAGCAGAAATGTGTTTCTACAGAAGGATGCTGATGATACCATGGACTAAATATATGAGCAACGACGAAGTTTTAGAGAAAATGGTAACAAATATATACTTATACTTAACATCCGAAAAAGAAAATTGAGATTTATAAAGCACATAATGAGGAAAGAGGGTTTAGCAAATTTGACGCTAGTAGGACATATTGAAGGCAAGAGAGACAGAGAAAAACAGCACATAATATAATTTACGAGCTTGTGTAAATGGTTGGCAGAACAGGGGTTAGGAGAGATAGCAAAGAGAGAAAATTTAATCAGAATTACAAAGGAGGGCCATGATCGCCAACGTCCTGAAAGGACACGGTACATAAAAGAAATTTCTAGACGATAAGTATTTGCCTTTGTTTTGTCTATAGCAGCTGAAGGACTTAATCCTGGTAATACAAACCTGGTTGAACTTTTCTTTAATTCGGATATCAAATAAAGATTTAGTGCTTAAACACATTCAGGTCTGATATAAAGAAAAAAAAAAGAACGCAGTAAGAGACAAATGATAAAATGGCGGCGATAAAATAGCGGCAAATAGAAAGCAATAAACGCCACCTGGCGGTCGATCTGTAACCAGTGCAAAACATGAAACCATCTTGAGGGCAAGTGAACCAGAATGTTCGTAAATCACAAAGCTGTTATGCTACGTTCGTAAGTAGATGGAACAGCCATGTATTTCTGAGTCGACTGGGCGAGCGGCTTCAGTGTGTGACCTAAATTCACTTGACAACAACAGCTATACCCGGATGTCGTCCGTGAGGCGTGACATCGGCAAAACGGTAAGGCTGACTCAACGCGCAACAATGAGAAAGAAAAAATGGTGAGGTTTTTCAGCAGTGTCACCAATGGCTGACGTCAGGTCCCGTTATGTGACCTTTGTCTCCTTTAGTAGAATAGTAATATTTATTGTTCTTGCAAGTAGTATTAACCTGTAGTGTGTCGATATTTCAGCCAGTTTTATTGGTCTCTGACTACAAAACACCTGTTGTTTGACAAGGCTTTGTAAACAGCGCGTTTTATGATCTCTTAGTGAACACCACAGTTGTACCAGTAATGTTATTTATATATGTAATCCCTCATTAAGTTCACATATTTCATAATATTGATGACGGTTTTTATAGCAGTTTCTTTCTTTCTTTTATTCATTAAATCTTTCTTCATTATTTTTTTTTCTGTCTTAATTTATTATATTTTATACAATCATTTTTTTTATTCGTCCAATATTTTTCTTTTTTCTTTCTTTCTTTCATTTTTTTAAAATTATTTATTTTTATTTATTTTTTTAAATTTGTTCATTACATTCTTTTTTCTTCATTATTTTCCCTTATTTTATTTATTCAGTATTTTTTCTTTTTTTTTTATTCCTTAAATCTATTACTTTCTTTCTCGGCCTTTCTTTCTTTCTTTCTTTCTTTCATTTTTCTAAAACTTTCTGTGTTATTTTCTTTGTTCATTTCCTTCTTTGTTTTATTTGTTCAATCTTTCTTTCTGTCTTTCTTTCTTTCTGTCAATATCTTTTCATTATTTTTTCCCTCTTCTCATTTCTTTCTTGTCTTCTTTGTTTTTCATTCGTTCAATTTATTCTTTCTTTCTTTTTTCTTAACATTCATTTCTTTCTTTATCACTTCCTTCTTTTATTCTTTGTCCAATCTTTCTTTCTCTCAATATCTTTTCATTGCCTTTTCTTTTCACATTTTTTCTTTCTTTCCATCTTTTTTTTTTAATTTGCCCAATCTTTCTTTCAATATCTTTTCATTAATATTTTTTTCATTTCTTTCTTTCTTTCTTTCTTTCTTTCTTTTATTCGTCCAATCTTTCCTTCTTTATTTCTTTAATCTAAATTATCTATGACCTCAGAGTCTAGAGCTTCAAATATAATATAAAGGCATCCCTCGATTAATGCGTTTTCAATTACTGCGTTGAAATTTTTTATATACAAGAATTCGATTAGTGTATGAATAATACTCGATTACTGCTGTAAAGCAATCTTCAGTTTAACCATAGACAGTGGCGATTCTGAAAAGTGGAGGAGACACTTGGGTGCGGGGGGGGGGGAGATTTTCTGTGGAGGAGGGGGGCAAATTCAAACAGCGTCTTTTATTTTCATGCTACACCACTATCGTATACACAACTTATGAATGAGTTTTACTATAAGTATGTTACTTCACTATATTAAACGGAATAACTTTTCATTCATAGTAGTAGAGTTCTAATCTATTCTTGTCTTCTTTTCAACTCTCAAGCTGTTGGTCGGCAAGAGAGGTTAACTTCAAAACAAAATCAAAGGGTTAATACTAACGTCAATACTAACAGAACAGTGTAATTTGTCTGCTCTGATTTTTTCCTGTACAAGTTGGTGGAAACCGATGTACCCCCCCACCCCGTAGAATCGCCACTGATCATAGTAATTGAAGATTGATTTTTTTTTATAGTTACACATTAGGCGGACTAATCCAGGGATTCCTGTACAAATAAAAGTAAATGTTTTTGTTACTGGCTAAAATCATTATTTTACTATGTGCACGTATATGACAGATGTGTGCTTTATATCCACAAAGTCCATATTTAAATCAATTTGACATCCTGCATATAATTTTACCACTGATCTCTCAAATCCATATCACATCATTCTCTTCGACAATGCACTCGAAGGGTCAGTTTGAGTCTCGAACGAATACCAACGGCCTGAATGGTGTGTTTTATGGCAGCAGCTTATAGGAATTACGGTGTAAGACTGGTCATGCTCTGATTCACGCTTTAAAAGTAACGGCGAGTTAATATCCAAAGGATAGACTATCAATGTCAAGGCTAATGTGGAAATTCAGGAAAAACTACCACGGATTTTTGTTCATCCGCTGAGGAGAATCAAACACATTTCTTCTTGTATATGAACTGACATGTTTTATATTGAGCCGCCATTATGAGATATTTATTGCATTTTAACACGCGAGGACAGTAACACTATAAATATATTTAAAAAAAATATTCAACAAACTTTGTCTTGCTTTTATGAATAAAATATATTATGGACTATTGTCTTGAATTTTTTTCGCTGAATAAGAATTTAAAAAAAAATAGTTTTCATTTTTTAAAAATTTTAATTATAATAATTTATAAAGTTTTAAATATTTTAATATTGTGGATTAATTGGTCGCAATTAGGTGATATTGTTATTAAGTAAAAATTATAAATGGAAAAGCTTACTCAGTTCAGTGAGCGCCATTATTTGAAAAAATAATTAGAACTTTTTTGTGCGTATAAACGTGCCGATTTTTGCCAATACGGATGTCCATACACGGCATTATCAGAAAATAAGAGCGACAACTATAGTAAATTTAAAGCCAAAGTATCTAAAATTCAACAAGATTGCATAGAATATTTTCCTAATTTTTGTATCTTGCCGGGTAGTTAAAATATTAGAGAAAAAAGACGCCACGTTATATTCAAGTTATCTTTTATAGATATTTTCATCTTGGAAAAAATTTCCAAACATACGTCGATCGAAATAGTTGTCAACACCTCATAGAAATATGATATTTTAAACTAAAAGTAATATTTGTTTCAAGTCAGATTAATTAAACTTTAAATCAGCTAATCTTCCTCAAATAAAGTTGCAGAAAAGTATATTTTATTTTTGAAAGGTTTTTAATGAAGAGAATTATGTTTAGAGAATTGTTAATATGGCTAAATTCAGTAATTCTTAGCGGTTTCAAAAAATAAGCTCATTCCAATCAATTTGCATCCGTTTTGAAATACAGCAAAGTCTTTTGCTTATTCGAAATTTTCAATTTAATCTATTACCTTGAAATTGAAGCAAAAATAAAAGCTTCAAGATATATATATATATATATATATATATATATATATATATATATATATATATATATTATAATAAACGTGCAATCAATTTACAAATACATGAATTATTCACACAAAACTAATGCAAAGGTTAATGATTTAAATGGCGAGACATCCATCATCGCAAACAATTCAAATAGTATACAAAAACCTCCAGATCCGTTATGAATGAATTGATCCTTGTTTATATAAATTTCTGCCGTATTAGTTGTTATTTTACTACAAGCTTTCGTCTGTTCCTACAGACATCTTCAGGTATAGAATAGTAGTAAAAATAATAACTATATATATATATATATATATATATATATATATATATATATATATATATATATATATATATATAAATAAAATAAAATGAAAGAACAGTAAGATATATAATCCGGTGTTCTTATATATATTTTATTTTTACAAAATATTGCTCAATGTAAATTTACAGAGCATTAATATTATAAATTAACTGATTTAAAATATGTTTTTTCGCTACACAGTTCTAACCATGTTTCAAAAATGGAAACTAAAAGCTTCGAATTTAATTTTGTAATTAAATTAAAAACATTAGTTCCATTTCATCCTAAAATATATATATATATATATATATATATATATTACAATTATTTAAAAAAAATATGATTCCATCACTACATATGAATTACCATGTTTTAAAAACGTCAAATTCAGTTATAGAATTTAGATTAAATTAAAGCG